GCTCCCTTCGTGGTGGCCAGGAAGCTGAGAAGGGGAGACAGGAGCGGGCGAGGGAGGTGAAGCCCTCCAGGCCACGCCCCCAACAGCGACCCACCTCTTCTGACCAGCCCCACCTCCCAAGAGCAAGCTGGCAGTATCACCCCACTATCTGTCTCCTTCCCGAAGCCCTGCCTAAGACTCCCCGAGGCCTTTGGGAGACAGCTGGATATAAACCATAATGCTTCCCAAGCTCGATATCCTTCAGTCTTGAAGTTTGCATGGCTTCCCTGGAGTTCCTACCCACCCCTGCCTTATGCAGCATGCTCATGGGCATCTCACCACAGAAGTTCCTTACCCTCCTGGAGCCCAGAGGAGGACGACTGGACTGGAAGAGGTCAGAAGCACCAAGTCTCGTACAGGTGACTTCTCATGTCTTGTGGGGAAGGAATATACTGTCTTGGGGAGTATTCTTTTCTTCAAGGCCACTGCTAAAACTTCCAGGCAGGTGCCACACCACTGAGCTGAATCTCCAGCACTGCTAAAACCTCCTAACAGGAAAAGTCACATTTACCCCACAGAAAAGGAATAACCTCCTCAATCATTTAAGCTGCTCAGGAGGCAGCTTTCTGTTTGCCTTTCTACTGACTCAAGGAAGAGGGTGCCTAATTATCACAGACATCAGGGAATACACAGAGGAAACCTCAGTGCAAGGACTTTCCCTGGTAACCACTAGGAGCCACTGAGCAGCCTAACCTTCATTTCCATGGGGGCTGGGGGGAATTGGCAACCACAACCCACGAGAGTCCATCCCTTCCGTCTCGCCAGACCAAGCAGAATCGGAAATGAGCCCTGTGGCCAAATTCCCCATGGGGAACCAAACCTACCCAAGTCTCATGCCTGGACCCCGAGCACAGGGTTCCATTTTACTTTTGTTCTGGTCCATTGTATTGTAAATGGAGAAACAGGCATTGTTGCATAAGAAATCCTGTTTGTATTGTTGGTTTTAGCCATGCTTCATGTTGCAGGCAAAAATTAAACAAAATGTGTATCTGACAGATAATTGAGCGCTAAGTATACCTCATAGGCAAGGTAGATATTTACTTTTAGCTAAAAGCCATGTTCCTGGTGAGTATATATTTTAATGCTTTGTTGGTGCTCACTGTTCAATGAGAGAAGCTGTTATAATTGGCATGTCATTTACCTTTGTAAGATTAATTTCACAACAACGTAGTCTTGGGCTGGCGCATGGCACAAATGCATGCAGTCTCGGGATTGTCTCCCTGATTTACTAAGAAACAAGTCAGATTCCCTCCAAGCTTCTGGGAGTTGGAGTTGTGCAAATGCACACACAAGTACTCATGCATGCTGGTGTGTACAGACATCTGAGGAGCCTGTGCAGGGCCCCATAGTTCCCCTTTAGCCATCTGACGCACCATACCTGTAAGTGAAACAATGGACAGCGAACAATTCTCTCACATTATTTTAAGTTGGGAAACATGGAACTGTATGGCAGTTAGGAGACAGTGAAGATCTGAATCCACTATTGAATGCTGCAGTTATGATCTCAGCTTCTGCAGCCAGCTGAGCAGCTAAGTTTTATAGAACAGCCAGCAAGGGGGAAAGCCAGTCCTGCTAGTGTGTAATGGTTCGTAATCGGTAGCATGGAGTATGAGGAAACAGCAATGGACCTGGGACAGAAGCACTGCGCTAGAGCCATTGCTCTGCCCTTGGGACCACAGGAGTGACCTCCCTCTTTGCATCTTAATTTCTCTATCTGTGAAATGGATCTACCCCCAGCCCACCCAACAGTACATGGCTTCGTAAGGAACAGCCTCGAGCTGTCTTGGTCCATCTCTCCTTGAAGCTCCTTTAGTTCTGCTTTCCATACTTTGAAGCTTTGTTATTGGGTGGACCAATGTTTAGGACTGCTCTGACCCCTTAATGAAGTGACTCTTTTGTCATGGTGAAATTGCCTTCTGATCACTGGCAATGTCCTTTACTATTAAGTCTGTTTTATCTGAAACTTAACAGAGCTCCTCAAATTCACTTTGATTAGTGTTTGATATCTGTGGTGTCCTTTGATTTGTAATCTATTAGTACTTTTATATTTAAAATATAATTCTTGGCCAGCGATATAGCTCAGCAGCACAGTGCCTGCCTGGCAAGCACCAGGTACTGAGTTCAATTTCTGGTACCAACAAAACAAAAAATAGATTTAACTGCATTTCTTGTATATGGCACATGGTTGGGTACTGCTTTTACATCAGGTTTGACAATCTGCCTTTGATTAGAGTGTCGGACCACTTACACTCACTATAATTATTGTTATGGATAGGTTTGAATCTATAATTTTGATATTTCTTGTAGGATCCTATCTGTTCACCTTGTTATTCTTTTTCTGACTTCTTTAACTGAATTTTTAATGATGAAATTTTTATTTTTCAGTTGGCTCATTAGCTTTATTTTGCTTTATATTTTGTAATCTCAGTGGTTTCTCTAGAATTACTGGCATATACATGTAACTCGTAGTCTCCTGTGAAATGATATACTACATCTCACAAGTAGTATGAGAACTTTATCACATTTTCATTTTTTCTCTCCTCCCGTTTGGACTGTCACTGTTAAACATGTCAATTTTGTGTGTATCATTAACACCTACTATACTGTTATTAATTTTTTGACAATCATATTTTAATGGTATTTGAATAATAGGGAAAGAATCCTGTACTTCCATGAATAGTTACCAGGGTGGATTACTTCTACTCATTCCTCTGTGCACGGTGTCTTTTCCTTCTCTAGGAAAGGACTTCCGTCAGCATTTCTTGTACTTTGGGTGTGATCAATTGTTTCCTAGCTATGGAATTCTCGGGTTATTGTTGTTATTTTGTTTTATTCCATTACGTTTTTGTTTTGTTTGGGTACTTTTAGAGGTGCTTTTCCACCATCTTCTTACCAAGATTGTCTTTCAAATGAAATCTGCTGTCATCCTTACATTGTTGCCTTCATAGAACACGTCTGTCTTCTGGTGGCTTTTAACGCTGCCTACCATCTCTTTTAAAGAATTCTATTATGATGTGCCTTGGTGCAGTACTCAGTATTTCTGTGGCTAGAGATCACTGAGGCATTCCACTCTGTGAGTGTATAGATCTCTCATTGACTTTAGAAAAGTTTCAGCTATCATTTCTTCATGTTTTTCTATCCTACCCCCTTTCTGCAGTCGCTGCAGGCCCCTGAAACCTATTTGTCTGTTAGGGCCTTTACAGTCTCCATAGCTCACTAATGTTCTCCTCAGTTTTTATCCTCTTTTCTCTTTGTGGGTCACTTATTAGTATGTCTTTAATTTTACTATCTTTTTTTACCTGAAATATCTAGTCTCCCAATAAGCTAGTCTACTGAAGTTTTTTTTAAATATCAACTATTATAATTTCAACTCAGATTTGACTTGGGTCTTTTATGTATTTCATTTATCTAGTTACATTATTAACATATGCAGTTAAAATATAGCTGTAGTACAATCATAATAACCTTTTTGTACTTTCCTGCATGAAACAGTATCTATATCATTTACATGAAAATTTTGATAGATTTAATTATTTCTTTTTATGATTCATATTTTGCAGCCTTTTAGCATTCCTAGAATTTGCTTTAAAGTGTATAATTTGGTGGCTTTTGGTATATTCATAGAATGTTGCAATTCTGACTATTGTTTAATTTTATAACATTTTCATCACCCCACAAATAAACTCATCACCTCTTATCAAATACTCCCTATTTCCCCCTTCCACACCTGTGCCCCTGAAAGCCACAAGTCTACTTTCTGTCTCTGGGTTTGTCTTCTCTGGACTTTTGATACATTGGAAATTATAAATTTTTGGTCTTTTGTGATTGGTGTTGTTCACTTCCCAATTTTAAAGACCTAGCCACATTGTAGCATGTATCAGTATTTCATTTCTTTCTATTAATGAATAATAGCCACTGTATGGAAAAACACGTTTTGTTTATCTGTTAATCAGTTAAGTTGCTCACACCTGGAAAATTTTTATCAAATGTCAGGCATCGTGAATTTTAGATTTTTGCATAATAAATGCTTTAATTCCTATAAATGCTTTTGGCCTTAATTTAAGAATGAGGTTAAATTGCTTAATAATTATCTGCTCTTTCTTAATTTTGATTTTAAAATATGTTCAGCAAGACTGAAATAATGTTCAAGCTTGAGCTAATTATTCTTCCCCTTCTGAGAAAAGACCTTTATGTACTGTACCCGACGGACCACGAATGTTGATGTTGTTTAATATAGCTGACAGGAACGGATGCTATTCCCAGCTCTGTGTGAGCACTGAGCACTGTGACTGCTAGTACTCTCAGGTGGTTCTTTCCTTGGTTTCAGGATGTTTCCTCACTTGTGTGCCTGGGCTCAGCTGAATGCCCCCGTAGAACCCTCTTCAGATTTCTGGAGTTCTCTCTGTATATCTCATTTCCAGCACTCTCCCTATGAATGCCCACTTCCTCTCCTCAGTTCTGCCTTCTTTTTAACTTGAGGAGACTGCTGGGACCCTTTGGGGGGCCGCTTCTATGTCCCAAACCCTTAAAGCCCCCTCAAAAATGTAATACCCTACCATTACAAGGTTGACACAATCTGTGTCCTTCTTTCAGAAGTCCCTGTAATTCACTACCTAATGTACACTGTCTTCTGAACCTCATTTCGATATCCTCCATGTGCCCTTTGGTCATTTCCGGTGGAAGAGATAACCTCACTCTGGTTATTTCATCATGGCCAAAGCAGAAGTGCAGTGGTGCCCAAAGTGAAGGGTAAATTACTCTCTGGGAGCTGTGAAAGCTGCTTCAGGGAGGAGCGTGATCCAGGATCCATCGAAGCTTGCTAGTCATCTTCCATATTGCAAATCTAGCCTTTCAGAGGGTGGGTGATGTGGCCTTTGTCTTTAGGACAGGCAATCTGTTAATCGTCCTTTTTGTGTCCCTTGTTTCTTTGAATGTGGGAACATTTATGTCTCCTCTCACAGGTGATCAGCGAATTTGAAGCGTCCCCTGACTCATTTTCCTACAGAATTCCTAACCTGAGTCGAAATCGCCAGTACAGCGTCTGGGTGGTGGCCGTGACTTCAGCCGGAAGAGGCAACAGCAGTGAGATCATCACGGTAGAGCCGCTAGCGAAAGGTGTGCTCCACAGTAAGGACCTTCGTTCCCGCTGGAATTCCACGGGGTTAAGCCTCTGTTCTGTGCTGTAAAACCTGCAGTGCCCTGAAAATCCAACCCAGAGCATCACATTTTAGCCCAAGAAATAAGGCTCTGGTGCCAGGCCCTGGGCTTTTGTACCACTCACACAAGAACCCCCCACCCCGTGAACAAACACTGTTCAGGAGTGAGTACGACAAATGTCTTCAGGGAAACTAGGAAGAGAAGCCTCCACTCACCCTCTGAGTACCTGAAAATCACTACTTAGCATTTTCTCAGGGAAGTTCTGCCCCAGTCACAATCAGGTGTCATACTTCTCAAGGAAAAATGTCTAATTTTTTTGGTCAATGGCATTTGGAACCTTAAAAATATATCAGCATCATTAGCTCTTTAGTGGCAGAATGCTGTAAACAAAGACCTTAAGTGGGAAGTGGGAGTCCCCAAAGGAAAGAAGTTCTTATGGGAGAATGTTTTATCTTCATATCTTCATATCTGACTGCTCCTTAAAAGCAAATATAGAGCTGGGCGTGATGGTGCTGGTAATCACAGCACTCCGAGAGGGTGAGGCAGGAGAATCTCAAGTTCGAGCCCAGTCTGAGCAACTTAGCAATGGAACAAGAACTTGTCTCAAAACATAAGCATTTAAAAGGGCTGAGGGTGTAGCTTAGTATGAAGGTCCTGGGCTCAATACCCAAAGCCATGTAGAAAGATCCTCAAATGTAGACCCAGAACATTCTCACTCTGCTTCTGGCCATCACTGCCTCCCTGTGTTTCCAGGGTGCCCCTAAATCAGCCCTCATAGTGAGCCCATTTCTACACAGCACAATTCCAGGCCAGCAGGAGAGGCCACATGGCTTCTGGGTACAGAATGTGAGCCTCTCTTACTGATACAGTCTCTAGGAGCCTGAGAGAAAAACTGACAACGTAAAATTCTGATTTCACCTCTGAAAGTCGGTGGTAACATGCTCACGCATGGGGTGGCTAAGAAATAGGCCAATGCCGTGGTGGGGAAGGCGCGCCATCCCCGTTCAGGCACCAGCACAGATAGGACGTAGTGTATGCTCAGTGCAGGAAGCACCTCAGTGGGGTGCTGGGTGCTGCACTCTTTGCCTTTGCTGGCTAGGCACACCTGACCTGAGGAAGCAGGGATTAGCATGGAGAATGCCGGCCTTGATCCCAGCACTCAGGAAACTGAAGCAGGAGGATTACTATGACTTCAGGCCAGCCTGGACCACAGAGTAAGAAAAATAAGAGCACAGGTTTCCCACAGAAAGGGCGAGAGGAGGCACTGCTGCCGGGAAGGCAAAGACAGCCTGTGCTGGAGATGCGCTGGCTTTGGCTGCAGGGAGGACCCGGCCAGCCTCCTCCAGAACAGCCTGGGTGGGGTGAGGGGGGCACAACGTGAGCCAGGAGGGCGAGATGGGGCCTGGGGGAAGCAGACGACTGACTGGCCCAGAAGTGGCGAGGGGGAGCGTATGTTTCCTCTGTGCTCCATGCGTCTGCTCTCGGAGGAGGTGGTGTGTCACGGGGGCTCCAGCAGAGGCGAAGCTGATCCTGCGGGAGAAAGAGGCTGTCCATTTAGTGCAGGAGATGCCCAGTTCCCAGCCAACATCCTCTACATCCTCTGAAGAGTTAGGCACTTCAGAGATGAGGGTCCGAGCTTGAGCAGAGGAAGGACGCTAGGCAGCAGGAGGGGTTACTAGAGGAACAGTCCATGGCAGGGCTGCTGGGAGTGCAGTGAGGAGGGCGATACAAGTGCTCTGTGACCTCCAAATGGAGCGGGTGGTGCACACAGCACTGTGCAGTTGTTGGGTGGTAGAGGGGCCAGCAGCAGCATCCATGGTCCTGGCTACAGTTGAAGCAGAGGACCGCTGCTCCTGCGGAGGTGGTCGAGGAGAGCATGGGGTCAGTGCCGCAGAGCCTCACCCAGGGCTGGAGCCCGGCCACCTGCAGCCCAGGAGCAGCATGGGTCTGAAGGGCTTCAGTGAGCATTCTCACCAGAATTACTCATGGGTGCTTGTTAAAGTACCCCTGAGCTCACCCCAGATCTATGGAATCTGCAGACCAGGGTGAGGATTATTGCTTCTGACAGATCCCAGGGGATTCCCTCATGTGCTCTGGGTTGAGAACCATGGCCCGGACCACTGTACTTCTCAGTTATGGAACTTCGGGCTAGGATCCTTTAAATTCCACCTGCCTCCAATGGGACCTGTTGGTCTGGAAGATGTGGTGGCTCCACCCTGTGCTTTATGTTGCTGGTGGAAATCATTTCTAAGTCCCAGATTTAATTGAATATGAGGCTGTGACCAGCATACTCAAGAACCACAATAGAACAGAGCGGAACAGAGTCAAATTGATGAGACCAAACTGAAAAAGTACTATAAAATATCAGAATGTAAATATAAAATATTCATGTGTAGCACTTCAGTTTCATTCAGACATCCCCGTATAGAAGTGAGTGGCTGCCAAGAAGCTTTGAAGCCTCCACCTCTAGTTGAGTTCCTGATCACCCCCATCTTACTGGGGGAGACATGGCCCCCAATGCAAAGGACAGCCTCAAGAGCTTGAAAAATGAAATGCAAAAGCCACCAATGCCAGGAATCCAGTGCACCTGACCAAGATCCTTTGGTTACAAGCTCTGAAATCAGAAATAGCAATGAGTGGCTAACTGTCCCTGCCTTTGAATGCTCTATTCAGGAGAAGTTGCCTCACACATGTAGCCTAATTTTGCTGCAAAATTCCCTGTCCCCTCACAAAGCCTGACTTCTGGGGCTCTCGTCTCTGCTCCTTGTCTGCCCCTGCTTATGGTGCTCAGAACAACAGAAATGAGAGTGGCCTCAGTTGACCTGAGGACCAAGGCTGACCTTCTGTCCTACACCAGGACAGCTCTCTGCTGACTCAGTACCTGGAGCTCTGTATTCCCTGGGATGCCAGAATTTCCCAGGAAGCCTGTTCCACACCCTCTTCACCAGTACAAATCCTCAAGTCCAAATAAGACACTTCAAGGTCCTAATGGTCTGTTCCATTTTTACGGGACCAGAATGGGATTGGGGCTCCCTTCCACCTGAGGTCTGTGCAGGTAGCCAGGCTGGGCACCTGGCAGAAGCCATGCTCCTTCCCCTTCTATGTCCGAGCTCATAGCAGCCTCTGGCCCTTGGCTCCTGCCTGGAAGGTGGTGTCCAGTGGATGCCACAGGGGCTAACTTTGTCCTCTGTGAAACATGTCTTAGTGTCTCTGCCAGCTCTGTGACTCACCAGAGGCTCAAGGAATCCATCTTCAAGGAAGACCCTTCTCAGCCAGGTTCACCCAACCTCTTGAGTCTCTATCTTCTGAGACTGCACCAGAGCCAAATGATCCAGAAGAAGCTCTAATCCGGGCATCTGAGTCACGTCCCAAGCAAACGGCAGCTCTTCAAGAGAAGCCTCCTGAAACGTTCCTTTTCCTTAATGTGTGTCCCAGCAGAGCACATTGATAAAGCAGTCAGGGAAGCACCGCACAATTGATAGATAGAAATCATTCCAGTTTGCTTCTTCTGGTCTCCTGGGGCTTTATGTTTTGTGTTGTCTATTGTCTCAGATATTAGAAGTATATTTTAATATGCGGTTCTGGGGTCAAGATGAATTGCTTCATAAAGTGCTTTGAAAAATAATTGGGCTCATAGAAAACACAGCTTGGAGTTGCTTTGCTTATGAAACTCCAAATGTCTAATTTGGACCCCTTATCTTTAGCCCATAGAAGAAAAAAATGCTACCATGGGGATTTTCAGGTATTTGTGTATTCTTACAGTGAAAATTCTTCACAACGCTGGTACCAGAAAATGGCGTTGACAGCTGGGATGTTAATTGGCTTCGCTTCCTATTTTGGGGTACTGCTCTATGTACTGGGAAGGTCAGCCCAGCTCTGCGGAGATAAGCCGGGGGTAACTGGGCTCCCGTCTTCTGGTGTTACAGCTCCTGCACGGATCCTAACCTTCAGCGGAACAGTGACTACTCCCTGGATGAAAGATATCGTCCTGCCGTGTAAAGCTGTCGGGGACCCTTCTCCCGCAGTAAAGTGGATGAAAGACAGGTAACCAGTAACCCAGTGTGCCCTTCACCACCCTCAGTCATGACATTGGGCAGATTGTGAGGGCAGCCAGTGGCCTCTAACTCTGGGTTTGTTTTTTTGTTTTGTTTTGTTTTGTTTTGGTTTGGTTTGGTTTGGTTTCGTTTTTTGTCTTTTTGAGACAGGGTCTTGCTATGCAGTTCAGGCTGGCCTTGAGCTCACTTTGTAGCTCAGGCTGGCCTCAAACTCACAACGATCCTCCTGCCTCAGCCTCCCAAGTGCTAGGATTACAGGCGTGCGCCACTATGTGCAGCTAACTCTGGGTTTGTGTATTTTAATGGAAGCTTGAGGAATGTTAGCGAGGCTTCTGAGCTGGGCTGGCAGTCCCAGTGTTAGCACTCAGAGGGACTGATCCACAGGCAGTGAGTGAAATACACGGTAATAGTTAAATAAAAATATTTACTACTCTCATGGATCCCCCTCAAAATCTTCCCCTCGTTTTGAGCACACTTATACCATCGTTCCAGCCTCCTTCTGAAGCAGCTCTGGAGTCTTCTTTCCTGAGTGGCTTTATGAGGTGTGATCAGAAATGCAGTGAATGCTACTGCCCAGTGACATTCCCTGGAGAGCCAGTCTTGTAAAAACAAGATGCTCTGTCCTCGTCCTTATCCACTGAATCTAGCACCAGTTGACTTCTGGCTCCTCCCCAAAGTCAAACAAACGTTCAGAATTCACTTACAGGCATAAGATTTGATAAAATGGGTTCAAACCCTCACTATTGTCAAACAAAACCAAGTAAGAGGTATCAAGTATTAAAATGATGAGCCAGCTCCAATGACCACATTTCTCACTGCATTTAAAATCGATTCATGCAAAGGAAATCCCAAATGTCCCAGAGCCAGGCTGGCATTCTGCCCGATGCCGGAATGTCCCCAGTCAAGTGGACCATCTGCCCCCCGGGAGCGGTTATGGCCCTGTGTAGGGAGCCAGCGTGTCATCGATTATGTCAAGTTCACACCCAGTTGTGGCTTTAGGTGACACTGTGAGATGTCTCAAGACTGAGTTTGGCCTACATCGTTCAGTCAGCCTGGCAGGTCTGCCCACAGAAGGAGTTCCCAGAATGGGCATCAAGATGGCATCTACGGAGCCTGTATGGTAGAGGAGGGAGGGACCCCGGGCAGGGCAGACTTTGGCATGTGCGAGACGCCCACAGGCGAGACAGGAGCCAGGCCTTTGACACCGACTCACCTTCAACTCGCAGTTTACACAGGGAAGGGACCCACGCTCAGGTGGTTTGACCGTACACCCTAGAGTAACTCCTTCCTAATGCGGGAAATAGTAAGCTCCTAAGCGTGCTGTTTGCTTAGAGCAAGTCTCGGTCTTCTCCCCAGCCTCAGCCAATGTGGGTTGTAATTTCTTTAATCTGTGCATCCTTCTTCCTGTGAGGCAGTAACGGGACGCCCAGCCTGGTGACGATTGACGGGCGCAGGAGCATCTTCAGCAACGGCAGCTTCATCATCCGCACTGTGAAGGCGGAAGACTCCGGCTACTACAGCTGCATCGCCAACAACAACTGGGGCTCAGACGAGATCATTTTAAATTTGCAAGTACAAGGTACAGAATGTGGGGCCCTCCTGAATGGCAGTCTGTGTCTGCATGCCATAGATGTAACACTGAGCAAATTAAACAATCAGCCTTAGTAAAACACGAATTGCTGTTTTCATACTACAAAAAGAAAAAAGCACATGTTCAATTTGGAAAATACAATTGAACACATCAAGGGAAATAAACATTATTCATAATCCCACAGGAAATACTGGGATGCAATATATTTTTGCATGTAAAATGCAACATCTCTAAAAAGATGTCCTTAATAACTTCTGCTAATGGCACTGTTTGCCTATGTACGTGCAACCCAGAAAACACAAATGAAAAGTCAGCCAGAATGGTTGTCTTTTAAGTCTGAGTTAATTAACTCAGTTCTTATGAGCAATCGGTGTCAAAAGGATATTAATTGCAACTCTAATTGCATTGCCATAATATTCAATTGTGTGTTTTAATGCGAGGTATTTAATTTTTCTTGCTACCCACAAAATGTGCACAGTTTCCAAAGATATTAAAATTGTGTGCAAAAACCCAAACAGCTATTGACTGGGTTCAGATTTAGGCGCACGGTGATATTTCACTAGCGGAAGAATCAAAGTGCACGCTGCTTTGGATTTGGGATTTGTCACTTTAATACATTCAGCAAATAAAATTTGAATCAATATTGTCCTCAGAGGGATCGAAATGGAGGTGAAGGGCTATATTTTTTTAAATACTGCAAAATTGATCTTGAATTTCAAGTTAATTAAAGTCAGGAGAATTCAGGGGCATTTTGGAAGATAACACTATATGAAGATTCAAAAGACGTGAGCCAGTTTTTCAGGTCTTTGGGTTGATATATCAGGCTTTTCTTGAAAGAAGTGAGAAGGCATTTGGTGTGAAGCTTTCTGTGTATTTTGGGAGTCTGATTTTGAATTTCTTTGGTATTTCTGCCCTCACAGCCAGTACAAAATTACAGTGAGGCCCATCGTTTAGAAGTAGAGGGCTGGCGATATAGCTCAGCAGCAGAGCTAAGCACAGGGGCCCTGAGTTTGATTCCTGGTACCAAAAAAGAAAAGAGTGGCACATCTGAGATCTTCAAAGCTGAGTGTGTGTGTGTGTGTGTGTGTGTGTGTGTGTGTGTGTGTGTGTAGTGTCTTAGCCAGTCACTTAAAAAGTGGCAATTTGTAGAATTCTTTTTTGCATTAGCTACTTCTCCCCCTGCGCCTTCCCTGGGAAGAGCAGGACAGCTCAGAGGACACCATTTATCTTTTTCACTTGAATTTCAAGGCTGAAATTCAGAATAAAATAATGCCTGTATCCACAGGAAGCTTAAAGATTTCAATTAGTGATGGGCAACTCAGAAAGTCAAGGGATGGTGGGGAAGTGATTTAGATAGAAAGCCAAGTAGAAATGTGGTTGAATTTTCTTTAAATAATAGATTCATTCTGCTCTATCTCTTTGGCCCAGGATATCAAGGAAATAGACATTTTGACAGAAATGAATTGCATATTTTGGCAACCTAAAACACTTCTTTAATAAATGGCTGTTAAAAATGATTTGGTAAATGACTGTTACAGAGGATTAAGATGTGAAAAACTAATTCTTGTTTTCTAAAAACTGTTTCTTGTCTAGTTCCACCAGATCAGCCCCGGCTTACTGTGTCCAAAACCACATCTTCCTCCATCACTCTTTCCTGGCTCCCGGGGGACAATGGAGGCAGCTCCATCAGAGGTAATGACGTCGAGGCTGCCCACGGTCGCTGGTTACTGCACTAACCATGGGCTGCTAAGTGCTGCATCTTCATCAAATAACTGCCAAGCATTGGTGTATTTGCCCCCAAAATGCACCCTATCATTAATTCTCCTAAGCAAGAAATTACATATATGTATATTTTCTCATATTTGTTGAAACTCCAATCATTTGTCCAGAGAACCTCATCCCCGTGGTTACCTGGAGCATCTGGACTGAGTGAAATACTAACAAATGAAATACGGGGAAGGGAACCCTGTGATCTTCCTCCTGAGATTCTGGATGCTGTAACTTCGGTTTGTCAGCACTATATCATTCTTCCCAGTAACCATGGTTACTGCTCTGACTTATAAAGCCATAAGAGAAAAAGGGCATAGAACTTAGATGGAAAACAACTTATTTGCATGAGCCTTGCTATTTGACACATAGCAGAAAATCGGACAATAGGCTTATCCTGGAGCGCTGAGCTAGCACGGTAATCGCAGCCCAAGGGAAGTCCAGAGGGTCGTGGTGACCATCTGGAGGGAAGGGACCAGGGGTGTCCAGAGGAAGAGACTGTAGACACGTGGGAATGAGGGGCTAAGTCACCGAGGTAGCCCTCGAGCAAAAAGGCAAGGCCAGGGCTTTGACCTGGGAAGCAGAGAGGAGGAAGGACGGGAAGAAGACTGGAAGGCAAGAGCAGTCCAGGGGGCTCTGCGAGCACGTTGGCCCTGCCTCCTCGCTCTGTGGCCCTGCTGAGAGCTGTCACACACCTCAGGTATCCTGAATGCACAGGTCAGGGATGCTGTGCTTCCCTCCAAGATGCCTGAGTTAAACATTCATCACCACCCCATTGGTGCAGCTCCCGGGAGAAGCTTCTTCTCCTTCTCTTTTCTCTTTTCCTCTCTGTAGGAAAGAAAAAGGTGAAGTTACTTTTTAAAAATAGCTGGATGATGAGGGGTGAGGCTCCGCTGTGGGTGTGAGGAGCGTGGGACAGATCTGTAGCAGCTGCAGTGCTCAGGGAGTCATTAGTAGACGAATAAAGTCATCACCAAGCAGCAGTGAGGACCCAGCTGCAGATAACAGTGCAAATTGCAGTGGTCATGGTTATCAGGACTTAGTGACTTTCTCAAGCGGACAGCTGAGAACAGAGGCAGATCGCAGGTGACCAAAGCTGGAGAGGACAGAGGGGTGCCTCTTCCAGTGAGGACAGAGCGAGGAGGACAGGTCTCCTTGCTGAACTGGGCCGCTGTGGGCTCTCAGCTGGCCGGGGAACCTTCTTAGAACAAACGGGGGCCTGAGCAGGGGCTCAGGGGACCAAGGCTGCAGACTGCAAAGAAATAACCTTGAGCTGAGTATGGTGGCACACGCCTCCCACTTCAGCAGTCTGGGCAGCTGAGGCAGGTGGATTCCAAGTTCCAGGCCAGCCTGGGCAATTTAGCAACTTAACAAGACCTTGTCTCAAGAGAAAAAATATGTATAAAGGGCCAGGACACAGCTCAATGTGAAGGCCCTGGTTTCAGTCCCCAGTACTGCAAAATATATGTGTTTATTTATATAATAAAAGATAAACTTTGGAGTCAGGCAGCTTGAGGGAGAACAGAAGAACCCTAGTGCAGGGCAGGGATTCTGATGAGGAGTCCCTGAGACAGAGGGAACCAGGGCATCGCTGAGATGCAGCGGGGGCCAAAGCCACTGGAAGGGGGTGTCCTGCATCGGGTGCGCCATGCTGACGGGGGTGAGGACGCTGAGGACCACAGTGGGGCACGGGGAAGTACACGGGCCCATGGCTTGGGGACAGAATTCCCGGAGGTAGAGACTCGGGGAAAACCAACTCTGGACGTGTAGTTGGCTGGAGGGAGGTTGGGGTTCCCGGGCCACAGGCACTGGGGGAGCTCACAGCAGGAGCACAAGGAGAGAAAACGGGCCCAGAGGGAGGGCTGCAAAGAGGGAGGGGGCAGGGCAGACAGACAGTGCAGGAGGAGGAGTCAGCCCGAGCCCCAAGAGCCCAGGGACCTCGGCCTGGGGCGAGGGGCTGTGAGCACTTAGGAGGCAGGCACAGAGCAGGGAGGACGCATTTCCCCCAGAAACATGTTTGCAGGTGGCGTGGGTAAAGGAGGCAATGGGAAAGAAAGCTCCAGCACCGCAGGACCAGGCAGGCGTGCTTCCAGCAGGCATGCTTCCAGCAGGCATGCTTCCTGCAGGCGGCCTCCTGTCACTCAGCGCCTGAGCTCTCTGGGTCTCAGTGTCTTCTTGGCCCTGGGGAAGGGCAAGGGTACTGCATGGGGTTGTGTGAAGTCATCAGAGCAGAAGGCTTGGGACCGTGCCAACTGACGGACAGCTGCTGCTAGTAGTTGCAGAAGTTGGGAGAAGAGTGGACGTCTGGAGAAAGGGGTGGCTGCAGGGATTTTCCAAACTAAAGAGAGGCCAGGTTGCTGTGTGGGGCATGTGGGGTGGTGTCAGGACGAGCAGCCAAACCCCTAGGGCAGAAGTGCTGGGCAGAGGGTGGTGGAGGAGGCTGCTGTGTCCGTTCATGTTCTCACAGACAGCACAGCCCTGTTCCGGGTGTCTGATGATCTCAAAAATAACTTGGCTTCAGCCTCTGCCCCTGCCCAAGCGTTAGGGCACGAGCTCCAAGGGGCAGGTTCTTAGCAGCTCGGTGTTCATTCCCTTCTGCCCAATACGGCGTTAAGGGGAGCGGGAGGTAGCTCTGCCTTCGCCCCATCAGGCAGCCGTACTACCGCACTGCGGACGTCTGGTGTGAATGAAGCGCCTCATACCCCAGCCAGCAGAGCGCTTCTCCTGGGGGAGTCAGAGTCCTTGGGATCAGGAGAGTTAGGAAGTTCTCTTCCCCAAATGCCCAGGTTGGGAGAAGCCTCAACCTGGACAAGATTCAAGTGTCTCTGTGGAAAGCCGTGCTCACAGACCCTCCCCTCTTCCTGCAGGCTACATACTGCAGTACTCTGAGGACAACAGCGAGCAGTGGGGCAGTTTCCCAATCAGCCCCAGCGAGCGCTCCTACCGCTTGGAGAACCTGAAGTGTGGGACGTGGTACAAGTTCACGCTCACTGCCCAAAACGGAGTGGGACCGGGACGCATCAGTGAGATCATAGAGGCGAAGACGCTGGGGAAGGGTGCGTATGCTTCCTGTCCTCTCCATGAGCTTGGCATTCTCAGGGAGCTCTGAGACGCACCGGTAGGAGCCCTCCCTCCACCTTCCCTGCGCTGAGGTCTGTAAGGTGGGACAAAGCCCACTGGCCCCTAAGCCCTTTACTCAGAGTGGACGGTTGGGAGTAAGCCATGCTGCTGGCTTGGCCTGAGCTCCTGACTGGCTGGGGAGAACGGCTTCGGGGCAGCACATGAAGCATGGGTGCGTAAAGAGTGGGATGGACGCTTCCTTCCCCACCCCCGAGCTCACCTCCGAGGTCTCTCTGCAGAGCCCCAGTTCTCCAAAGAGCAGGAGCTCTTCGCCAGCGTCAACAGCACCCGTGTACGGCTCAACCTGATCGGCTGGAACGACGGCGGCTGCCCCATCACCTCCTTCACGCTCGAGTACAGGCCCTTCGGGACCACGGTCTGGACCACGGCTCATCGGACCTCCCTGTCCAAGTCCTACATTCTGTATGACCTGCAGGAAGCCACCTGGTACGAGCTCCAGATGCGGGTGTGCAACAGCGCCGGCTGCGCGGAGAAGCAGGCCACCTTCGCCACGCTCAACTACGATGGCAGTAAGCTCCGGGCCACCCGTCTGCATCGGGGATGTCACGTGTGCCCGCCCTGCCCTGCACACCCCTCCTTGCCACCCTTTGCACCCAGAGCTGTCGGGTCTGGGCCCTTCAGCCAGCTCTCTGTGGTTCCCTAGTTCATTCCACCCAGGTGACCACATCCGTGGCTCTGAGGCCAAAGGCATGTACCCCGGGAGCCCCGTGCATGAGCGACTTCTCTCAGGGCTGCAGGCATCTGCCCTGTGCGTCCGGGCCTCTGTCAGGTGTGAGCTAACCTTGCTTTTGTTGTCTCCACCCCTCCCATCACCCCATCCCAACCCACATGACAACTTTCTTTTTGCCTCATGAAGCCCTTAAACTGCATGTGCGAAGAGTTTCCATGGCAAAGGAGCTTGTGCAAGTTTCTGAGTAGAAGCAGGGGTAGTAAGGGGAATAGAATAAGGACATCAGCATGACCTGTACACACACACATGCCGTGCACACACACTGCACACACACATTGACCACACACACAGCTTCCGTATGTTTTCTTAAAGCTGGATGCGCTATCTCTTGACATCTTCTCAACCAAAGACGAATTATCTAAATTCTTGCCCTTTTTCCAGTATCCAGGGCCATTTATTGATATCTGAGAAAATGCCCAACCCCATGCAGTAGAAAGTGGGTGTCACTGGCTGTCAGTAGGGACTTTTAGGACATCCCCAGCAGCGGTGCTGGATCTGCAGTGGTTTCTCTGTGAATAGCAGCACAGGAGGAGTGCACTCCTCTGGAGGCAAAGCCCAGCAGTTCACAGAGTGTTCAGCTCTGGCTCTGCCCCTCAAGGCCTTGGCACGACTGGATCACAGGACCCAACTGTAGGCACCCCAGCCCTCCCCTGCATCCCACCCGAGGCGCTGCTGTGCCACACCCAAGCCCTGCACATGCAGAGCTGCTCCTCTCCTGCTTTCCTGGAAGAGTCCTGGCAAGGAATCGCCTTGCTTGGCCACGCCAGCCTGGGCTCCAGCCTACAGTGAGCTCTGTCCAGGGCTTGGGGCAGCCCAGCAGCAGCCGGTCCTCCGCAGCCTGTGCTCCTCCCGAGCTCCTCCCTCCAATCTCTGACACCTCAGCTGCAAGTGACTGCATTTCAAGGTGTCCTGGCCACAGTGCATGACCACAGGCAGAGCATCGTTTATAGCTGGCTTCTCCCCCAGTCTGAGTCTCTGTTCTGGAACACAGCACTTGATGTTGATCACACACTCAGCACTGGGGGGCTCATGCACACACTTGCAGGTGAGGGTGCATCTCAGTGCAAAGCCCTGATTGGTGACAGTGTGTCTTGGTTACTTTTCTCTTGTTGCTGAGACAAAATACTTGACACCCACAATTAAGGAAAAAAAGGTTTATGTAGCTCACAATCTGTGGAAGTTTCAGTCCATACTCGGCTGGCTCCAAGGCAGAGTGGCACATGGCTGAGGGCAACTGTTCACGGCAGCAGAAAACAGCAAGAGCAGCAAGAGCAAAAGGGAGGAGTGGCAGCAAGCAGCCTCTTTCCCTCCCTTACACTGTATGTAAACCACCCGCCCCAGGGCAGGTGTAGCATTCACACCCACAATTCCAACCCTGGACCATGAATCGATCATAAACTCTAGAAGCCCGACCCATGACTGTATTAGGCTTTGAAGGCCATCCAGACACAAACCATAACACAGTGACACTCAAGCCCATGGTGGCTCCATAGGCTATGTGGGGCCAGGCAGGATGCGGGACTGACACACACACACTGGAGATGTGCTCACAGCTAATCACTGAATTAGAAGCTACTTGAGCAGAGAATTTGAAACTGCAACATGACTTACAAAGTGCTCGGCAGGTTGTAAATGTGTCTTCTAAATGTATGTAATGTATGGTACATAGCTCTACTTCACCCAGAGTCACAAATTACAAAAGCGTCCTCCGAGCTACGTTTAATTTTCTGAAGTCCTGAATAATTTCATTCCACCAAAATGTGAGTGCCTATTTCTTTTTCCTTGAGAAAGACCACAGACTTCTGCCAACCAATTTCATGGATATGTATCTGAAATCTCTTGTCACAATCTGTCTGAAGCATTTTTTTTTTCACTTTGGGAAAAACAAACATTGATAATGAGCCTTATGTGCAGACCAGCTAGGTTTCCGACTCTCCCATTTCCTTCTCTGACTCTTCCTTGCGCCATTCCTTTGCCAAATGTTCTCATCTGTCCGTGTCTCGTTCTGCTTGCAGACCGACACAGCCTCCTGAGCACCCTCACCTACCTCTCACCTGCTCTCTGAGCATTTGGAGTCTTGGGTTTTCGGCCAAAACTGCTGGGAAGTTGGAAGGGCTCTCTTCTTGCTCTAGCAAAGATCTTAGAGGGCTAGGGGTCCTATTATTCCTGCTCTACTTACTAAACGCAAGATCAAGACCGTTTTGCTCAGGGGGAAATTTATTATTTTTGCATTATTTTCCCTAAAGCACTGACTTTCTTGCCCTTTTTTACACGGAAAAGACAGTGGGCTGGGGCACCTTACATAATCAGGGATGGCAAGCTCTGTGCCCCATAAAAGCAGATGTCTCTTCACATCTCTGCACCCATTGTGTTCAGCCCCTGGGTAGAAAGCAGCTCAAAATAGCTCAGAGTTCATTTTACTTCAGTGTTTCCTTGTAATTCTAAATCATCTGAATCAGATAGCACAGCTTAACAATAAGTAGCTGCTTTAGAGTCCCAGATGGGTCCCTTTGGAAAAGTTGTCTATAGCTCTTAGACCCCAAAAATGGGAGTCGTAAAGTAGACTTGATCGTACACCTGCCATGAAAAGCAAATGAATAACCAAACAAAAAGAAGCTTAAGCTCTTTTAAAAGCCAGTGTGTCTGGGTGATCTCTCTGCAGACCATTTCCTGTTCATTTGCCAAATCTGTGGTTCCTCCTTTGAGATACAGTGTTTCAAATCACTGCTAGCCATTGTGACAGTCAGGGTCACCTCATCCCAGGTACAGGCATGGGCGCTGAGCTGTCAGGTGCCTGCCCACAGCAGCAGGGCACAAATGGGTGTCTTCTGCAGAGCTGCAGAGTGGGACCCTGGGTAGGGAAAGGGACCCAGTGTGCACACGTCAGCTAGCAAGGAACTAGGAAGACCTCCTCCCATCCCATCTCCGTGGACGCCCGGGATCACACAGCGCGACTTTGTAACCTCCATCCCTAAAACTTCCGCCACACCGCCTTCATCAATAGCATCTAACACCTTGGCCCTGCTTACAGGTACAATTCCTCCACTCATTAAGTCAGTTGTCCAAAGTGATGAGGGGCTGGCGACCAACGAAGGGCTCAAGATGCTGGTGACCGTCTCCTGCATCCTGGTGGGCGTGCTCCTGCTCTTCGTGCTCCTGATGGTGCTGCGGCGGCGGCGGCGGGAGCAGAGGCTCAAGAGGCTGAGAGGTAGGTCCGGGCCCCAGTACCAACCCCAGAGGGACGCCCATCTCCTCAGACCGCGTCCGCAGCTGCAGAGCCCTTGGGGAGTGCAATACCAGCATGCCCATCTCCGGTGCCAGAAGCGGGCAAAAGCCGACCCCGCTCGAGTCCCCTCAATTCCAGCCTTCAGCACACAAAGAAAATTAATTTCTCATGGGTTTTCCGACCCTGCTTTCTTTAATTTTCGGTGGTTCCAGCAAAGCCACCAATCATGGCTTCGCTTGAAAAGAGCTATCAGATTTCCTCTGGCAAGGAGAATTATGTTATTGCCTGGAAACAGGAATGGAGGGCTTTACAGTATGGCATTATGGGGCAGAAAACACGCTTTCCCAGGTTGGAAATGGAGCTGAAGCCCCGCGGAAGACTTTCACCATAAGAAAGAAACACAGGCAGATTGAGAGCTGAGGCCGGGTGGGAGGCACCGGCAGCAGTGACCATCACTACAGTTGTCCTGTGTGACAGGCTGTCCTCCACACTGGCCAGCAGCCCTTCCTCGCCCTTGCTCTACAATGTGAGGACAGGAGCACTTTCAAATATCAAATTCAAAAAAAATCAAATATGAAACTCTACGTGCAAGAAATATATATATATATATATATGTATATACATACATAATTTGTGACTGTACTGGGGGTGTCTTACCACTGAGCTACATCCCTAACCTTTTGTAGCTCTTATTGTGAGACAGGATACTGATAAGTTGCCCAAGCAGGACTCTAACTTGCAGTCCTCCTGCCTCAGCCTTCCAGAGTGGTGGGATTACAGGAGTGGGCCCCTGAGCCCAGGTCCATCAGGGTATTGACTGAGGCATCTTTTTAGTAAAGTGAGTACCTAAGGTGCTTGCGTTTTACATCAGTGCTGTGCAAGGAATGTTGTACAGCCTTCAAGCCCTCTCCTCAGAACACATCTACGACATCCCCAAACCTCACCCATACATTTAGGAAACATCGATCTCCGCAGATTCTTTCCTTGGCCGTCTTCCAGGTGGAGAGACAGAGCATGATGAGGCTCCCGCCCATCCTGTCCCGTCTGCACCACTCCTCCCAATAGGGCTCTCACTCTGGCAAAAGAAAATCAAAATATTTGAAGTACGCAGCATGTTAACAGTCCTTTTGTTTAAATCCCCCACAGCGTAGTAATTCAGAGAAACCATCAGTCTCATTGAAATGTTCGTTCTAGATCAGATGGCGCAGTTGTCCTTCCATGTCATAGGTGTTCTCTGAGGGACGCCCACATCCTAAGCCTCGTGCCGGCGCCTGGTGTAAGATGACCAGAGGGAGCTTGCTGCCTCTGGGTTCAGTGTAGGAGGTCAGCACATAAAGCACCCACTGCTGAAAGTGCCCTGCATACAAAGGAAGGCCTTGCAACAAATCCCACTCCAGGGCAAAGAGGGAGAGCGTGTTCCCAAGAGAGGAGGAAAGATGGAGCTACCTAGGAGATTAAGAAAAGCACTATGAAGATGTAATGCTGGCCCGTGCTTTGAGTGTAAGTGGGCCATGTTGAATTCCACTTAGGAGCGTTTATCATTAAAATACCAAAAGGACGTTTTTATAACCCTCTTTCACAGTGCAATCCAAAAACAATAGGGATATAGCTATTCGGGCCCCCAGAGAGTCTATCTCTCTGTAGATGGCTGTGTCCAACTCAGTACATTTAGAAGGCCAGGAGTTTTCCATGTTTCTCAACACTAATATTAAAAGGGTCTCCTGAGGCATCTGTAGTAAAGCCAGGGGTTTGGCAGCAGATGGGTTAAATCCCCGGCCGTGCCTCCCGCTGCTGGATGCGCTCTGCTAAGCTCCCCGCTTCCCTGCTCCTAGTGCCGGCCCCTGCCTTCCAGGCTACTGTGTTATATTTGCTGTCCTACTTAGAACCCAATCCCCTAGCCTTGCCTTTCCCTGCCAAGAGCCGTTCGTGATCTCACCACGGCACACTGGTCAGCCTGATGGGAGACCCTTGCCGACCCTCCTGCCTTCTTCAGGGTTCTGTGTGACTCAGTTCCTGCCTGAGGAGGGCAGCCTCCAGGGGCCATCCTGGGACAGCCCCCTTACTGTTGGCCTCCACTGCTAGACCCTGACGTCTAGTAGTCGTGCCTCATAAAGAAAGTGAGACAGCACACCAGACAGGCTTTCATGCCCTGGGGATGGTCTTTTTTCTGCTTTGTACTAGGAATAAAAAGGTAGAGGCAACACAGAGGAAGAAGGCAATTCTCATGGCAGAGAGGGCTCATTCCCGAGATGCGCCAAGGGCAAAGGATGCTGGAGAAGCAACTCACCATCTCACGGGCAAAACAGGCGTAACATGGTTTAAAGCTCACAACAGTGTTTTCTTATTAATCATTTCTGTTTGATCACAAGAGTTTAGCAAGGTCTTGGAGAGAAAAAACGTCCTAAAACCCTAACCCAGAACTGTAGAAGGTGACGCTCCAGTGGCATTGGGTCACAGTTAGGAGAAAGATAGGCTCACCTATCTGCCACTCTGAGAAGTGCTGCCTGAAGACAAAGTAGGGATGAGGCTGTGCGGGACTTTCTAGGGAAAGTCTGCCACACCCTGGGAGGATCTTTGCCTGGTAGCCCTGCTCCTCTGAAATGATCATCAATGACACAAATGATCACTGATGACACAAAACTTTTCCAACCCACTCAGGGAAGGAATTGGCAGGCCCAGAGCTGAAGGTGATCAGTGCCTAGCTTTTACAGGGCCAGAGCTCACTGCGAGAACCAGGCACAGATCCTCTTTTGCTGTCCCAAATGAGCACCACGTTTTTACAGACATGTTCATGCTGCTCGAGCAAACACAGCTTGGGATCGAAAACTGGAATAAGGAAATTCAAGTTCAAGAAAAACATTGTGGAGATCCTTAGTGGATGCTACCAGGTGATTATGGAAGATTAACCTGAGGTAGTTTGAACCTGTTTGGTTGCTTTGTTTGACTGCTAGAAACTATTAAAATGTTTCCACGCATGGTACATTTGACAAGCAACCTAGTTAGGTGAGCATGATAGAATGTTATCTCATGTATAACTTTTTTAAGAGAAAGAAAATGGGACTCAAGCAGTTTGGCCAGCCTATATTCTCTCTTTCTAAGTGTTTTTACTAATTTTAGAGCATAGCGACCTCCTAAAGCTCCAATTGTCTACAGGTACTACTTTTTAAGTCTATAACCTCATCCAGGAGTTCAGAAACCATGTTTTGCTTTTATGATGGCCTGGTTTTTCCCAACTTCTACAACCTTTAAAGTCCAAGGTTATAATGTGAGTCCCTGGCAGGACTGGAGATCCCAGCAGCCTGGACCTTATAAAAGTTTTATTCCCAGGTCAAGTTGTCAACTCCAATATTGCTAAAAGCATCCTCCTTTCTACAGCATGGATTACCCTAGGGAGAGCAAGCCCACGTCAGCACCAGTAAGCATAGGTCACAGGGCAGAGCCAGGCCCAGCATGCCAGCCAGGACTTTGTGTAAGCTAAAGAGAAAAATCAGTCTGTGCTATAAATTCAACTAGGTCTCTCTCCCCTGATGGAAATTAATTTATTATTTTAAATATGCTTTCTAATGAATTAATGTTCTCAAACTAGTCAATGCCAGAAGATGATTTCCCAAAAACTCATCTACATGGGCATGGTTTAAAGGTAGGCTGTCAGGACAGTCCCTCGTTTTCTGTGACCACCTGTGCCATTTTCTGCTTTGCAAATGAATCAGAAAGTTCTCCTTTATTAAAAACTAAAAAATAACTTGAGCTTTACTAATCTAAAGCAGGAGCGCTCATGCTGGAGCTGAGGACCACTTAGACTTGGGTAGACTCTCCCCAGCACTAAGGTCTAGAGTCCACACAGAAGTGGGGAGCCGCCAGAAAATGTGCAGCCTAAGGCTTCATTGCCGAGGTGACAGATGGCCAGACCATGGCTAAGATGGACTCAGAAGCCCATACTATAAACTCTTTGCTTCTACGGTGTGCATATCCTCCCTTCCTCTCTTCCTTGCCTTCCTACCGTTCCTCTCTCTCCTCCTTCCGTTCCCTTCATGCTTTGCCCCTCTCTCATCTCCTTTTCTCTTCTCTGTCTCTCCCACCCCTTCCTTCCCTGCTCTCCAGTTCTTTCTGCCTTAGCTTCTGAAAAATGCCATCCTGTCAGAGCGCCACACTTGCCTCGGCAGAACCAAGGAGCAAAGAGTCTCTATTGGAGAGCAGGGAGCGGGGCAACGTTCCGGCAGTGGTGACCGGGGTCAGCTGCAGAGCTGGGGACAGGAGCAGGCAGCTGAGGGCAGCAGTGGATGCCGCCTGGCCCTGGCCTGAATGCCCCGTGTGGCCCTTGTTTGTGCCCGAGGAGTTCTCAGGTCTAGGCATCTTCAACTGTTTTTGGGGTGGGTGCTTTGTCCCAGCTCGCACTTGGGCATGCTGGTGATTGAAGTCCTCTGTGGGCGCTTATAAAAACCTAAGTGCAGGTTTATAGCCCTGACAGAAATGGCTACTTTATGAGACGCCTTCAATTTCACAGAAAATTGGGGGTGTTGGGGGCCTGAAAATAAAAGCTGAGAGGGACAGAGGGCACAGCAAGGTCAAGTTTGCCACCCCTAAGTGGTTTTCTGTTTTCTTTCTTCTCGTGCTTTTTTGGAGTGTGTGCAAGCGACTGCCCCATAAAAATTAGACCAAGTGTGTTCTATTTTCCTAAACTAGAACATCAGACGCTGAAGCGCAGTCACGTGGCTAGGCATGGGAGTCCTACTCAAACTTCTGGGTATGCAACATAGGCGGCGCCCCAGGCTCTGCAGAGCAGCAGTGCTGCCCCCAAGCACTCGTGGTCCCTTCCTAGTGTGCCAGGTGTGCCTCAGTGCAGGCCACCTTCACGCATGGGCAGACCAAGAGGGGCACAGTGGTTCTCCAAAAGCCCACGGGAACTTGCAAGACCAAGCTCTGATGCTGCTAAGCCAGCTGAGGGCGGCTCTCCCAAGCCCTGGTGGGGCTGTGCGTTTCCT